TGGCGGATGCTTGGTTTTGCGTTGCTGAAGTTGACCCTAAACTTCTACCGTCTCGCAAATAGTTGTGCGCAGTTTGGCCGATATTGGTCCCGGCTGCTAGCTGGCGTTCAGTCGTATCAAGCCTCACATTATTTCTTCAAAAAAATACCTCCGTTTTCATAGCATGATGAATTTCATTCTTTTGTTTTATGTTATTTTTATTTTAATGTAGGAAAAATACGCATGCCTGCTTTACGTATTTTGTTTTTACATTTTATTCTGAATAAATTAAAATATTTTTTAGTTGTAATGTAGCGCATATACGCATTATTAACGCATATATGACTTCCGTTTTTCACTATGATCGCAGTTGTCACTACAACCTGCTAAACTTTTCCTCGCACTCTTACCTGCGTGCAAGACTTTCTTTCTTAATTGTCACGGGGATAAAGATACCACTCGTATTTTTTTTGAGCTAATTTACATGTTATTGGAGTTAAAATGTTGTCTCATGAACCGATATGTACAATTCAAAAATAGAATCGACAATCGTATGCCTCTCCTCTTCAATTCAATTTATATGACTTTCCAATGAACATTTGTTTTCTGTCAATAAAATGCATTCCAAAAATTGTGGCAACGTTAAAGAGGGCTATGATTCCGATAAATAATTCCTTGTCCTAGCAGCTAGACTCCTAGCTGGTAGCTTTATGATCAGAGCGGCACTCGCTAATTGTCTTCGCTAGTCATGTCAAAATTGACCAACTGCTTGAAAATAAGCGTCGAAGAATTTTATACATAGTTCGAGTTGACGATACAGTGGATCCATAAATTTAATATTGCATAAATTATTGACTTGCCGGTATGTGCGCTACTTACTAATAGTTTACGCACTGCTAATTGTAGGTAATTCGGTGAAATGTAGATCCATGGTCAACATTCGAGAGGGTGTTGTCGATTGATTGATTGATTGATTGATTGATTGATTTTTATTCACAAAGGAGCTCTAGTTACAATTCAAAAGAGAAAAAGAAAAACATTTATAAAATAATAGAGACATCCAAGTGAATGCCCATAAGCAGATAAGCTTCGCAGGCAACAGAGGAAAGAAAATTTAAAAAGCATCAGGCATTAGAATCTGCCAGCGATTCTTCAAATTTGATCAGGTCACACTCAGAGTTGATGTAGGAAACCTTAACACAGGACTTAGTCTTAGCACAAACTTGACCTTGCCACGTGTACACTCTCTCGATAGAATTGTTGGCTTTTTTTAGAGTATGAACATTGAGTATTGAGTTAGCTTCCAAAATTCAACAGAACACAAGCCCAAAATATCCATATAACAGCTGCAAGGTTCTCATTTAGGGCTAGGATTTTCCTATTTTGCAATATACTGTCGTTTCGTGCTCGCTTTGACATTAGCTTCGTGCAAGAACATCACAAATATATGTATTCCTGAGATAAAATTTAAAAAAAAACATAAAATTCAATGTATTGCGCACTATTTTGAGACCACTCCGAAACAGAGTAAATTATGAGCTGTGTTTGATAAATAGTAATCCAGCAATATTTACCTTTTTCTTGTCTTTGCATATCATAGAAGCATAATATTGCGGCACGATGAGATAGTGGTCGTTGGCTGAATATGATGATTTAGGATGGGTATCACTATTAATTTTTCACATTGGTGAGGTAACAAATACCTGAATAAAAAGTTAAAACAACGCAATAAAAGTTGCAGGACGTCAAGGCCCATAGTTCCATCGGGAAGTGACACAGGTCTCTAAAGATATATAAGGTAATATCATGTTGAGTTATACTCCTGTAAAATACATTTTTACACAATACAGAACTATACGAAACTAGGCACTTCCTGTGAAGGAGTACGTTGGAGACACCACTTGTGATTCCAAAAAAGTACATCGGACTTCACGAGTTCACGTAGCGACTGACAGTCGCCGCCCGCCGGCCGGGCGCCGGGAAGTGCATGCAGCTGACAGACTCTCAGGAATGAAAAATCGGGATCGTCACAAGGAAATTTACTCGTGTTGATCGAAGCATCAACCGGTAGTTCGACTTCGAGCTGAGAAAAGAAATCGGTTAAGGAAATATATAAACTTCCAATGTCACTCCTGAGGTTTTGTGAATTGTGATACTTTTTATATGAACGTAGATTTAATTTACATCGAACCCCATGAAGCGATTCCTAATCGAGATCGACTGACAGCCTAAAGCTAAGCTAAGCTCTATAATAAATCTAAAACATGTTTCCTCAACCCATCATTACCCATGCCTTGGTTTGGAATTGTTAGTTATTTATCTTCGTTAGTCGTTACTGCAGTCGATAGTTGATACTCTGCCTGGCCCTGACCAAGCCAAGGGCTGAAGGGCAACATGTGCGTGTCAGCGTGTGTTATACTCAGCTAAATCAAATTTACTGTAGCTATTAGAAATATTGACTCCCTGAGCAGTGAAGTGAACTGGTTAGTGGTTACTCACGTTACTGGCAGAACTGCAACTGCATTCTTACACTTGACTTGAGTTCCTAGTCATTAGTACTATGATTAAGGCCTAGTCATTACTGTCAAGTGTCAATGTGGTCATTTTGCTTCAAATAAAAATTATTCTGAGTTATCAATTTATTTATTATGACTCCATGTATATGTGTATGAATGTATGATGCAATCCATTGTTAACCATGCAGTCCATGCTTTAAAAATTTGTTAGCTATTAACTTTTCTTTTGTTCCTGGGGGCTTACGGGGCTGGGAGCCTGGGACTGGGAGGGACTGCTGAACTGGGAGTGGGAGCCTGGGAGGTAAGGTAGGGCTTAGGCTGCTAGGCTAGGTTGTGCCACTTGTGCATCAGTACATTACCACTAAAAATTGCAATTCCAAACTGAAATTGAGCTGTTTATTTTATTTTCTACCAAAAAATTATTGAACTCTTTGACTGCAATGTACACCAATAACACCATCATCAATTATCACATCATGCATTGCATGATGCATGTCCGATGATGTCCCAAAATGCAATGTGCGTTGTGTCTTGTGAAGTTGTGTGACTGTGACATCTGACGGTCCGACACTGACGTGTGCCTTATAGTTACAAGGTACAAAGGTAGGTACATGGGCAGATTTGGGCACTAGCCTACATGCCTTAAAATTTTAACTTGAAAATTATAATTTTTAAACATCTTTTAAAACATCAGTCAGATCATCAACTTGTAAAAAATAGGATAGGGTATTGACAAAACTACTTTTGAAAGCCTATATGAATCATCGAATGTCATGCAATAGGCTACCTAATTCAATTGCAATTGAATCATTCATAAGAATCTTAGTATCGTTGCAATCAAGCCTGGCCCTGGCCTGGCCCTGAAATAATGAGTTAGCATAATAACTGAAAAATCATGGAACAAAATATGTTAACCAATTCCAATATGATGAAATTACATTTTTGGCATTGATATGGATTATAAAAGTAAAAATTGGGTAGGTACCAGTCTACTAGACATCCAAAAGTTCACATTGGCTGAATTTCACTGTGAAAAAGCAAGGTATGCACTTGAATGGATTCCCATTTCCCACCACATGAATTACAATTAATAGTTACTTTTCTAGTTTCCATCTCATTGCAGCACTAACTTCCTTCTTTGCAAGCATGTTACATCAGGTCTCAAAGCTGCAGCTTGTCATAAAATTCAGATCCTCAGCTTCAAATAATTTAGCCCTGGAAGGGAGACCTCCAATATTATAGTAATTTTGTCATAGAAACATTTTTTTGCATGTCTGACAGTCTGGCCTATTACAAGACACACAAGTGACAATACCTTCAGTCCTGTTCAAATGTTCAACAAATTCAGTGATTCACATTGAATTTTTACTGACTATAGAATTGTTCATAAAGCACCCAGGCATATGCTACTGCAGTGTTTGCAACAACTTGAATAGTTGTTGTCACTCACTCACTTGCATGGTGGCATTCAAAATGCCTTCTAAATGACCAGTACCTATGTAATTGAGGAGCAAGGTTGCCAAAAATAGGAGCATGCTCATTCAGTTATTCAAGTTTGAATGAGTTGAACTGGAATACAGACTATTTTGGGAGTTGCAGTCAAAGTGTTAAAAGCTATACCGTAGTGAATGGTAGAATAAGTAATAGACATTTATTAAACATTAAGCCCTGTAATTTTTGTCTCATTCATTTGTCTGTAGTTGGTTGTATTACATCATTTACATGAATTATCTCCTTTCTAATTGTAAACAAAGTGGTTAAGTTGACAATAGAGCCATGATTTCCCAAAATTTTTGACAAGTATCATGTAGGAGCTGTGAGATTTTAGTAATACATAGAAATTTTTCAATCTTGATCTAACAGAAGTCTTGTGGATCCAAAACAGGCTGGAAGGTAGATACCTTCTAGTTGTGGAACATAGTCTATGCCAGGCAGCCAGGGGTCTTGAAACTGGATACGCCCCATGGCTAGGTTCCATCAGGCCTGCCGAGGATATCTCTAAGTTCAACATAATGTGTACAAAAATCAAGCATGGCATTTATTTCTGATTACGCATGAACTAAAAACAGTAAATGGGCGTGACTGGCCTGTTAAGGTTTCAGAAAGTTTGCTGTTGGCACTTGGTGAAAAAAGTTTGGAGGCCCCTGGTCAATGCTGTACTGGTTAGTCATGATAGTGAGACCAGGATCAGAATTGTCATACTTAACACTGAAATTTTGCAGCTCCAAAGTGAAAAATTTTCAATACATTGGGAATCTTGCAGAAATTTAACTGTACTTGCTTATTTGGCAGTCTGATTGCTAAACAGTCTGGATTTGTGGGTTTAAGTGAATGGAAATTTTGATAAAACATTTTTTCAAGGTAGTTGTCATAATTAATTGCCACTCATCTAATGGGAACCTTGTAATCCTTAAAATGGCCACATCAAATTTTCCAACCCTTGTCTCCGAGATTAAACTGCCAGTGTACTTACAGTACCTAATTATGCTTAATTATTCTGTTTTTCAGATGGATGAATTAAAAGAGAAAGGTAATGCTTGTCTTGGTCATGGACAAGTTTCTGAAGCTATTGAATACTACTCAGAAGCACTTAATTTGGAACCATCTGCAATTCTTTATAGTAATAGATCTATGGCTTATCTAAAACTTAAAAAATATTATGAGGCAAATAGAGATGCTGAATGTGCTATCAACTTGGATCCCATGTGGAGCAAAGTGAGTAGAATGACAAGTAGACTTGAATGATTTAATGTTAGTTTTTCAATCATTCAGATTAAATACTGATGTGTACAATATTTGCTTATTGAGTCTTTAGTACATAGACACTTGTCTGAAATTTTAGAGCATATTAGATGCTTACAGTGAAGCAAATCCAACCAATATTAAACAATCATTTTAAGAAATTTATAGTTGATTTCTATTTAGGATTGAATAGAAGACCAGCATTTCATTATCTACCTATCTTAAAATCAAACTTTAATTGCTTTTTAGGAAGCCCAAGAGTTTCTCTCAATTTTGAAATTCAAATTAGTAAGCTACTAATTTAATTCCTAGCCCATTCAATCATATACCTACCTATATAATTTCCCTTTGAAAGATGTTGATTTTCCTTATTTTTTCCAGGGATATTTCCGTTTTGGAGAAGTGCGACTCTGTATTGGACAGTTTATGGAGGCAATCACAGCATATGAGACAGCTCAGCTCCTAGAGCACAAGCAGAATGGCAGACATGACCTGGTGCTGGCCAAACGGCTGGTTGAGGCGCGCTCAAAGTGGCAGGAGCAGTGTAAAGTGAGACACTTTTATGAGATACTTGTTCCACTACTCCTACTCCTACTTACTACTCTGTTTCCATTTTACTGCCCCTTTACCTCTTACTCATTTCCCAATTAATTATTCATGGTTGTGTTGAAAAATTATTTTACCAGAATCTATATTTTTTCTGGAATTTGCATCAAGCCTACAAACTCTAGATCTACCACTAATAAACTTTTTGACAATATGGTACTTTAGTCAATTCTTTCAATGCTGGTTCCACAGCTTATTTCAATTCTAAATTTTTGTAATTTTCATTGACAATTTTCATTTTGTAATTCAAAATTCTGTTCACATTTTTAGTTTTTAGAAAGACCAACTCAAAAGAATAATGATACGGTACTAAAGTTTATTGCTGCCTTGCATGAATTTTTGCTGTTTCAAGCTATCATTTAACTTAACTTTTAACATAGAAGAGTAAAAATTTCACTTCTAAAAATTCTAGAAAATCTTTTGAAACCTGTGAGCTATAATTTCTCAGTTCTAATATAACTTTGATGCTTCACACTCTCACCTAGGTTCTGATTTCCTTCTCTCAAAAACTTTCAATGCTTGTAGAGGTTCAAGATGCTTCTTCGTAGGGTTCAGAAGTACCTATGTGAGCCGAGTGTTGCTCAAATATAGGTATAGATAATATTTCATGCACGTCAGTAAAATAAGTAGAGCATTGTAGAATGCTAAACTATTGTTGTATGCTTCATAAAAGTGTTCCAGAAATGAAGACTTAGAAGAAAGATTGTGAAGTATTGATTTCATATGCAAATGTCTGATTTCACAGACTTTTAAATTAAAAGGCTCTAATTGTATTTTAAGTAATTTGTTTTATGAAAATCAGCTATTTTATAATACTCTATAATGAGCTAATGTATTTATTTTGCGTGCAGTTTGAGAAAAACCTGGCTTGGGTTTGTGCTGGTTTTGGCCTCATCTTTTCTGTGTTCATTATCGCGGCCGATTATGCTCTGGCTAAGTCTCCTGCCATGACCGTGAGTGCTGTTCTTCAGTAATGCCAAAGACTATAGATAATAATTTTAATATGTCACGTGATCTATCATTAATTTTGCTAAAGCAGGGAATCACAATAACGGAGTTACATTCAATTGTTATATTGCGTGCAAAGCAGAACTCTGAAATAGTAAAGTTGTCTGATATTTAATGTTATGTTATTTTTTATTTTGCCAAGGTTGTTATTTCAGTAATCTGTTCTTCCATGAAGCTTTTTTGTCCGTAAAATTTTTATGTCTCTTTGATTGAAGGGAAATTAAGGATTTGTTACTCCCATTTTATTTTGTCATTTTTTCTGGTACCTAGAAAATTCATTTGATGCAGTAAAATAAATTTGCTGCAAGACGACATCATTTTAACACCTAATTTTGAACGCCATAGGTGTCTAAGAGGCCTGTGAAATTATTGATTATACAATATTTTTTAATTAAAAATATGCAAATTGACAGGTTAGGAATGTTTACCTTTACTTACACTTCTCGTCAGTTCCTGACAGGCAGGCTTGTTGCTATCAGTTTCTAATGTTGCTGCTGTGTTTTTTTTTACGGCAATGTTCATTATCATTATTATAAGCGTTATCGTGCAGCATGTGGTGGTGCAGTCAGCGTTTGTGATGGTGCTGAGTGGCGTGGGCTATGGTGGCGGTCTGGTGTGGCTGTGGTACAGAGCTCACCTGAGAAGCACTGCACTGCAACCACCGCTGTCACTACAGCAGGAGCGGCTCGCTGAACAAGGTCAGCAAAGATTTTCAGTCTCTGATGAAATCTTATTTATTTCCATTTTATTACAAATTCTCGATTATGAAAATAATAGATGCTAAAATAGAGCTATGGGCAATCGCACATTAGAGTCCATGGAAGTTTTTAAAATCATGTTGTTTTAATGCATATTTGTGTAGCTGTGAACCTGAGAAATAGGTAATGTTTTTCCATAGCCTGCACTGAGAAAAATGTATGGAAATAGATATTTTACTCAATTATGAATGGTTGAATCCATTTAAATAATACAATGCTTAAAGGAAGCTTTCTAAAATATTTGAAAGCATTGTAAAGGTAGCTTCACGATTTGTTGATGTCTCCACGATACCTTATTAAGGATTAGAATTTAAATCATCTGCGCTTGTATCATGTGTTAATAAATTACAATATTCATAGTTTTCCCAAATGTAAAGAATCAATTAAATAACTTTGCTGAATTATTTACTTTTTTATAGTGTATTTAATCATTAAAGAATTAATTTTGTGGTATACAAATTATTGAAAACGTGAATTTGCAATGAAATGAACGGTATGCCAGAACTAATGCATTATGGTGCAAAGAAGATTCCACGAATAAAAAAGAATAACATTGCTCAAATTTCTATATTATTTTCAGAAATTTATTTTATTCATGAATGGAAAAAATTCCTAATGAGTGTTTTGTAGTATAGGTGGAGATTATTAAATAGATCATAGAAACACGGCCCCACAGATGGGTAACAAATAAACAAGTTTATTATTTCACATACCACTTATCGCTTTAAATACAAGTAGAAAACACCCTAAAGACATTCCAAAGCAGATAAAAAGAATAAAATTGTTTCACGTCCTGTTCCTTTAGATGAGCGCCATAAAACGCAGAAAAGAAAAATATTGCAAAAAAACTATTTTCTCGGCAAGAATTAAATATTAGTGAACGCTCAAATAGAATAGTGACTGAATAGCAAAGCAATGAATGATGGCGGTGAACGCTGTATTGAGAGTAATAGGATTAGCGACTGCATAGCAAGCTGGAAATTTTTTCACGTGATGCATGATTTTGTGCAGAGGAAGACCAAGCACTGACCGAGCGCGACGACCGAAGCAAGACGGGCGCCGCGAACGGAGCGTCGCGCGTCCGCTACAGCAGAGCGCAGGCGCGCCAGCGATACAAGAAGGGAAAGTCGTAGTCACGGACCGGATGAAGTACCGCCCGAGAACTGAGATTATGTGTGGCTGTAATTCACTTTTTAGTTTTTACTATAAGGGTTTTCTAATGTACTTTATTTTCGATCATGGCTTTATGTTTACTTTATTTTCGATCATGGCTTTATGTTTACTTTATTTTCGATCACGGCCTTTTTTACTTTATTTCCAATCGGGTGTTTAAGCTCACTATATTTTTTATCGTAGCTTAATAAATGTTGCTCTATTTCCGTTAAGGGATTTTATTGTACTTTATTTTTCATCGAGGGATGTTATTTAACATTACTTTTGATCCTAAGAGTCGAAAAACAATGCAAGTGCATTTAGTGGTTCCTAATCTACTTTGTTAGGATGGTAATCTATAACCATTATTATTATTAATTTTTTGTCTATCTTTGTGAATTATGTGAGTACCGCAGCTCCGTTTCGGGGCTCTTCTAACAGTTCCGTTTAGTTTGGGTTTAATATATAAACAGCATCACCAGACTCCTTGAAGCATTCACCTTCAAACTAAATCTTGTGCTGTTATGAAGCGCCTACTTTTACGACGGCTTGACTTCAGCGTTACTGATACTGAACTGTTTTTGTTGAAATACATTTTGGCTTAACCTCGTTCCCTGAACTTCTGAGCATCGATGTTACATATTCTAACATCAATAACCTCTCCGTTTCTGTAGTGACCACTTATGGTCATCAGGGATAACTATTCCAATAAAATCTCACTGTAACTTGTTAATCATCAGAAATAATGAGTTCTGAAAAATAGTATGCCAATTAGACTCGTTCCCTTAACCGTTGCTCAAACTGATCTCTTGCTGTGGTTGTAAACTTCCATGTCTTTTTCACTCGTTTCTTCACAACTTCTGCGTTGCAGAAGTTTTTTTTTTGCAGCTCTGCAATTTTCAGAATATTACAAATTAGTGCGATTTACAATTCCTCGTTGACTGTTTTTTTTTTCAGGGTATCCACGTTTTTCTAATTTGTATTATTTGAAGGTGCATAGAAATGCGTATTTCACACTAAAAACAGAATATTCGGCAACTTTAATTTATAAACTTGGTGTCAATACTTTTAAGAAACCTTATACATTTGATTTTGTGCTGCTGATAACGTCTAGTCTTCTAATGTAATTCCCGTGTTGTACAGTTACGAAGGCACATTTATACTCGCCTCCAGTTTTATATCATGAACTTTGGTTTAGTTTGGTCTTGAGCTGCCTTGTGAAATAGTTGACGATAGTTCTTTGCTTTGATTTCCCGTTCCTATTTATGTCATTCTTGGAAAATCTCATATCGAGCATCTCAGTCTCGAAAATCGAGACGCTGGAGTATCTTGGTTGTGCTTCTAGATTTACTAGACATTCTACATGTTTTTGTTCATGTAAACTTGTACATATACGTATATTTACTTGCTATGTGAGAAAGTGCTTTTTGTACGTATTTTTTCTAGTCAAAGTAATAAATGGTAAAAAATTGATTCAGTGGTCGGTAGATATTTTACGATAATGAATTGGACACTTCCATATATTTTATTTGATATCAACAATTGGAATTTTCGTTGCTGCAGAGGAAAATACTGTAGTGCTAAAGTAACTTGCGACTTGAGGTTTATAAATATTGTTTATAGCTGATGTGAAATTTGATTATTATCGAATAAACTTGATGGATGACATTTTAGTCGATGTTTAAAATGCACCTGCCTCTTGCCCAGACCAAGTGACGTCTTTCCTCCATTCACCTTGCACAATACCAACGTTTCTAACAGAGAGAGATTAACTTACGCTGCTATCACATTTGTCGAATGAGATCAAGCCTATGGCCTCATGAGCAGTAGCCATAACACATTTGTATTATTCTGACCCTTAATAGTGAACATGCATTAAATTAATTCGTTGAGGCGCCAATACAGGGACCAAATGGTGAAGTTCACATCTCGGTGATGAATTGAATTGGTATTACGGAATGCAATTTAGAAAATTATTCTAGGAGCTGATGAGGCGGGCACAGTTTAGTCACACGAATTGTACGTTTTTTAGTTTTTGATTGACATCGCGAGGTGCGTGAAATAGTTTCGAGCGCCTTACACGTTGGTGAACTGCACATAAATTGTCGAATTATTAGAACTGTAAAGTAGTAGTTAATGATATTCTTATCCCACGTTCGTTTCTATAGCGTCGGTAGTAGTCAGGCCATTGAAAGAGAATCGACCATCCCGACGAAACCAACCTTAGTAACTTCGATACTCAGTGCCTTCATCACACCAACTTCTTGCATCAAACTTACTTTGTGGAGAATGAATCTGACCCACTAGCGTGTTTGTTATAACCTATGAGAGTAACGGATTTATCTCTCAAAATATTCCCTACTTATCTAAAACTAGCCTATATTCGGGGGTGGCAAATAACCAGTGATTGGTGGTCGTACGATTGGAGGTCCATAGCCGTCTGGGGGAGGGTTGGGGCTTGGAGATGGCAACCCTCCTGTTGGAGGAGGTGATGGGAAATTACCTGTTGGAGGGGGTGCATACCCTCCTGGAGGAGGTGATGGGAACCCTCCTGTTGAAGGAGGTGATGGGAAGCCTCCTGTTGGAGGAGGTGATGGCAACCCTCCCGTTGGAGGAGGTGCATACCCTCCTGGAGGTGGTGATGGGAACCCTCCTGTTGGAGGAGGTGATGGCAACCCTCCTGTTGGAGGAGGTGATGGGAAATTTCCTGTTGGAGGGGGTGCATACCCTCCTGGAGGTGGTGATGGGAACCCTCCTGTTGGAGGTGATGGGAAACCTCCTGTTGGAGGAGGTACATATCCTCCTGGGGATGGCGGTGGAACTATATCAGGACCCGGAAATCCACCTTGACCAGGAAATCCATTGGGGCCTGGAGAAGGAAATCCCCCTGAAGAAGGTGGTACATAAACTCCTGGTGGGGGCGAAGGAAATCCTCCCGGATTTGGGAACGGAAATCCACCGGGACTTGGAAATGGAAATCCACCGGGACTTGGAGACGGGAATCCACCGGGACTTGGAAATGGAAATCCACCGGGACTTGGAGACGGAAATCCCCCTGGCGATGGCGGTAAATAAAGTCCTGGTGGCTGAATCACAGGAGGACTGACGTTGCCACCAGGTGGTGGTAAGAAGCCAGAGCTCGTGGATGATGCGTCACCTCCACTAGGTTGATTGTCGGTGTCAGGGTAAGGCAGGAATACAGGAGGTCCTTCAGGAGGCTGACTGCCCTGAATCGTGAACTGGGGTGAAGTTACGTCCGTCCAGAAGGTTGCGAAGCTTCTCATGAATGTTCCTCTGCGCGATAGTAAAAAAGGAGTTTAGGATGCGAAAATTTACACGGGGGTTTATAATCTTATTACAAATTCATTGATAGCATGTAAACGGCATATTCTAGTTAGTAAATAGCCTGCAAAACATGTCTTCCTTCGATGACAGTTTTCGATTTCAAGTTTAGGCGGTATATGCAATAGAAACTTGAATTTCAAGGATTGTCGAATAGGGGTTAAACTTAACGTAAAGCATATTAGTTTCCGATTTTCACAAAGCAACGCGGCCTCACTCCAAACTTGAACAATTTATCTATGAATGCAGAGGCAATGAAGAATGACTTGAAATTTATTTATATATCAGGTTTAGGTTAGTGAATGAATTTAATGCCGCATAGGTCCTTATTTCACCTGAAGGTGACATCGCCTGTGTATCCTTGGGGTTGCCACACAACGGTGATGCTGTTCTTCTTTTCGTTGCTGTTGTGAGACACGGCCGTCTGTTGGCAAATGACTGTTAATATTTACATTAATATTATTATTATTAATATTATATTCAATCAGAAAAACTAATTAGGCATATTATGCAAATAGTGAACAATTTCTCACTGAAAACACGAACAGAGAGCAAACGTAGCAATGATGAGCCCTATTATCGGGCTAAACTGGCTCAGGATGACCCATACAAAGCAAAGTCTCGCCTTTTCTGAGTGTATACTGAGCTAGGAAACACTAGTGATTCAATTATATAATGATAAGATCAGGTTAGTTTATTACCACTGCAGAGGTCAGGTTAGTTCATTACCACTGCAGAGTTCAGGTTAGTTCATTACCACTGCAGAATTCAGGTTAGTTCATTACCACTGCAGAATTCAGGTTAGTTCATTACCACTGCAGAGTTCAGGCTAGTTCAAGTTCATTACCGCTGTAGAGGTTAGGTCAGTTCAATATCACTGCAGAGGTCAGGTTCAAAATATGTCAGGTTCAGAAGAGGTCAGGTTAGTTCACTGTTCCCTTCGTAGGTTCAAAATTCTTCAATTAGCTGACCTCGCAGCTCCGACGCCATTTCGGGGCTGCAAATTCTTTCTTTAGACCTTTTATAGTTTTTAGTCATATCAAGTATTCATATGAAAATTTCTGGATTATTTACCTGATAATCTGGATAAATAATTCTGTTACTAACTATCAAGATTATACATCTTAATTGTATGACACTGACCTTCAGATTACGAATCACTCGAACTTAAATTCGATTATTTTGCAATTAACATCCTTGTTTACTAAGCATCCGGTTTGCTCTCGCTACTTGGCTATAAGAGCATTTTTCCTCAGTAAGTTTCGGTATTCCTTCACATTTGTTTTGACCTGTGTATGAGCCGTCTCTGTTAGGCGTGGCCGAGATAGTGTAGGGAGCACTCGACGTCTGTGCGGACACGCCGTGTTGAGGCGTCATCGTATCACACGCGACTGTCACCTGCCCGTTGCTGAAGCCTGCCGACTCGTGGGTGATGAGCGTAAGCATCCATATCACCCAAACCTTCCTCATCCTCGATCAATGCCAGAACCTAAAGAAGTGGGATGGGTGGCTGTTAATAGCGATTGTATTTAATGAAGAAGAATCCAAGCTAATATGCTGGCTAGCCTTCTGATGGCAGATTTCAGGCCACGTTCAAAAATGCATTCTTTGCCAAAAAATGCATTCGTTTGCTATTTTTGGGGGTGCGATACTGCGTTGTGGTCATCTATTTTTGCTTGCTCGTCCTAAGTAATCCCGTTATAAATTATCAAAAGGCGGCGTGAAGAGGAAATCTAAGACAATTATATCATTTTATTTATTTTAATTATTATAAATTTTTTACAATAATGGGAATATTTTTTTACCGTTGTAGACGAGCAGAGCTTGCGCAGAGATCCGCCTAGCGAGGAGACAAACGCATAACTGATTCTTGTGGTTCCAGGTGAAACTTTTTATACGCCACCAGCGGACTGGAAGGTAAAAGCTCAGTTTCTCTGCGGTTTCGCTCCCTGCATCCTTCTGAGTGACCTTGTAAACACGCTACAGTGACATCCTTGCAGCCACTGTTGAACGGTTACTGTGACCCTCCTGCAGCCACTGCCATACAGTTACTGTGACCTCCTGCAGCCACTGCCGTACAGTAACTGTGACCTCCTGCAGCCACTGCCGTACAGTTACTGTGACCTCCTGCAGCCACTGCCGTACAGTTACTGTGACCTCCTGCAGCCACTGCCGTACAGTTACTGTGACCTCCTGCAGCCACTGCCGTACAGTTACTGTGACCTCCTGCAGCCACTGCCGTACAGTTACTGTGACCTCCTGCAGCCACTGTCGTACGGTTACTGAGACCTCCTGCAGCCACAGCTATACGGTCACTGTTGCCAAACGAACCATATTAAATTGATCAACGTATATAAATGCGTTGTATTCTAGTACTTCTGTTCAAGTGAATGTGCGTACATCGTTAAACGTGTCTGTAAATACTTAGTTTCTAATCTAAGACTTGATTCTTTACTTGCTACCCGTTAGTCAAGTTAATTTTATCGTTTATTGTCTAGTTGCCATTGACGAGATCAATGGAGTGAAGGGCACCAGACCATTCGAGCTATATATATAGTGTGCTTCTTTTGTCCGTTTTGTTTTTGTTCAATCAAGGTTCAATTTTAGTAGCAGTTCAAGGCCGTTATTTCATGACAGACCCATCCACGGTACGATTACGGCCATGGAGGTGCAATGACAGAGTCAAATGGATCCGTTCGGAAGCAGATCAGGGTCGTTCCCCAGCCTTATCGCCATAGCCGGAACCTGCGCATGCGACATCAAGTGATGCTATAATCTAGGGCTGTCAGCTCTAGGCTATAATCTAGGGCTGTCAGCCGATTTCGTCCTGATTCTTTACAATTAGTTGTAGATTTCGATTCCACAATCAGCTGCCCCGATTCTGGTGATCTACAATTCGGCTGGTGATCTATACAATTCTGGTGATCTATACAAAAAAGTCAGTGTTCGTTAATTCTCAATTAAATGAAAGATGGAGAAGGATACATTAGAAAGGACCATTTTCGTGGTGCGTAACAAGAGTTATCAATATACCCAAGTAAACCTCAATGAAATGTTAAACTTTTAGCTTATACCGTCCTAAAAATAAATGTCCTGCATTTATGTAAGATAAACGTTATAATCATAAACGTTACGAAGCACGTAACCAGCGAATAATCAGTTGCAAGAAGTAAAAAAGGAAAATATGGGAAAATTTTGAAGTTTTCACCTAATTGACAGGCTGTAAAATTTAAGAAACAATGAAGCTACTATCTTAAATTATTTGACAAATTTTGAGTTTGATTTGGTTTTGCTTCATTGTAATGCAGACAATTTTCAGTCGTTTAGAACCGAATCCTGAAATGCAATCGTCATAATACTACTGGGCAGAGTGGCCCAGTTGTTAAGGGCAGGGTGGCCCAGTGGTTACAGTTCAGAGTACCAAGATTGGCGCAGAGAGACGCGGGTTCGATCCCAGCTCTGTGCGCCAGTTTCTGGTCAGAATCGGCAAGGAGGCCGCGGGGTTAGGCGAAGCAGAATTGGTGCAGTGAGTTAAAAGTTCGAGACCGCAACAAGCTGCGAATATTCTGCGATGTTGAGAATCGGCCTACTAAACGCTGAAACCGCTATTATGTTGTATATTATATATCATACGGTTCACAAGAAGTTGAAGATGGCGGGCTGAAAAACAGGTGAGGGAGGCGTGACATGGAAATACAGTTAGGTCGCTGCTAGTCTCACGATCGGATTAAATGTATACTGCAGAAGAGATTTAAGTTATTAATCTCTCAAAATGTAAGGGTAAACTAATTATGGTTATAATAAATAATTATCGAAATATCGCTTGTAAACAGAACCACTACGAATCTAAGGTTTAAATGCCCAGCAGTGTGGTAATCACATTATAAAGGAAGAATAATTGGAGGAAAATAATTTAAACCAGTTTTAGAGGTGGTAACAGTTATAAGAAGAACAGTTGAAGGTTTTGATGCTTAGGAAATCGAGATAAAGACCTAAGGCTAATGTTTGAATGGTGATATTCGCAGGTAACGTAGTAAAGTAACGTACTTCTAGAACGAAGAACACTAAAAAAATTTGTCGATCGTTTTGATTTAGATGAAGTAACAATTAAAATTAAATAGTGAAATTTGAATTTGAATTAATTTGAAATTATAAGTCTTTAACCAAGTCGAAATTCCAAACATTAAATAAATGAATTTATTGGAGCAAAAGAATATACGAAGTGAAATTCATACGACATTCATAAAAATCAAGGAATAGAGAAACATATTTGTACCAAACGGTGGAAATACTTGGACTTTCAGGCAGGTTAGTTGTCAAACGGGACAGAAATAGCAATATTCGCGAAAACTAGGAGTTCCAAATAATGAATTACAATAATATTTGAACAGTGCGTCAAGGCGTTACAACTCTAGGCTGTCACTGGCGACAAATATAATTCGCTACAACTGAAAGTTGATGGTAATGACGACTCCCTTAAGACACGTGGCAGAACCCCTGATTTAGACTAAGTTCTTATTCTTCGAATAAAGTTAGAGAAGCGGATTCTATAATAATTATAAGGTGATATAGATCTTATAAATAAACCCTAGCCTTTATACAAATTGACGGTGCATGAGGAATGACGAATTTCTCACAAAATAATTTTCCCACAATTTCAACGAAAAAGCTTGCGAAAGAGCTTCGGAGAGCAGCTTAGAAGTCAGTTCAAAAATTCAATGAAAAGGCAACGTGTATGATGAAATTGTACGAATAATTAGGGCGGTGGAGAGAAGTATAGCGATAACAGGCGCGATAAATTAAATAAAATTCGAAATTCCAAATGGGTGTTATTTTATTGTTTTATTTTTGATCTGATAAGGTCGTTGAATGTTTTTCAATTAAATTCTAATGAGTTTGCTATGCGTTTTCCATCAGGCTAAATTCTTCGTTAAATATCGATATAAGTAATAAAAGTAGCAAATATTATCAGCCTATTTCTATGTACTAACCTTCATTGCCATGAAAATGATGTAGTTACTGCGCTCATTCTACAACATTCATCGCCATTTCGCATTCTATTCTCTCCTGTGTCATGTGGATGCAAATTTTTCCTGACGTATATTTGCGCCCTTGGCTTGGTATGTTTTGTTGAATAGTATTTCGGACATCTTTAATTATAAAGTTAGGCTTGAAATTACCAACACACATCCGCTATAAATGATCAGCTAATTTTTAGAACTTTCATCTAAGAGAGACTCATCGAACCTACGAGAGTGTGATTACTGTCAAGCAAATTTAATAAGGGCTGACTACTGTTTCGCTGATTGAATAAGCGCTTGTTCACTCTCCGTCGATTGAATAAGCGCTTGTTCACTCTCCGTCGATTGAATAAGCGCTTGTTCACTCTCCGTCGATTGAATAAGCGCTTGTTCACTAAATTAATGTCAATTAAACAATTTGGATTAAGCTGCTAGTGCTATTTTGCACTCATGTGTATAGTTTCAAACTTGATTTTGTTGGTCATAAGCGGAACGCGTTTACACCGCGTCAAACTGTAAGTGGAGTTTATAGCGGTTTAGCGGTTTCAGCGTTTATTAGGCCGTAGGCCTGTCGCCGATTCTTAACATCGCAGAACATTCACAGCATTTTGCGGTCTCGAACTCGCAATTCACTGCCTCAATTCACCGCCCGGCCTCCTCGCCGATTCTGACCAGAAACTGACGCACAGAGCTTGGATCGAACCCGCGCCTCTCTGCTCCAATCCCAGTACTCTGAACTTAATTTAACCACTGGGCCACCCTGCCACCCTTCAGTTTGAATGTGATCGGAGTCTTTCAATTTCAACATCCAATTGATATCTCTGTCTCTCATTTTCTGGAACAGTTCATCGGACAAAAATTAACAAAAGTCAATTATAGTAGTATTGTATAGTATCATATCTTCGGCATTGAAGAATAGGCCTGGATAGGCCTGTCGCCGATCCTTGTACTTTTCTTGGCTAGACTGGCTGTCCTTTAGATCAAATCTTTTCAACGGACGGTAGATTTAAAATCGCTTCTAGATTTCAGTTGTTCCGTAGGATACGAGGAATTTTAAGACTAAACAAATGCTCCTGCATATGTTGCAATTATAAGCCTAAAGAAGTAGGAATTTTTGTAACATGTGTCGGAGTGTAGAATTAATTTCCTTAAGGGTGTTGTCACAGATACTACAATCTTGAGTTAGAGTGTAGTCACAGATTGTAACAATAGTTTGACTTCAGAATGACAGCCTAGTTACGTCACCTTACGTTAGTGTATAAAATGTCTTCATTTATAAGCAACGTTACGCGTGTTATTTATTTTTGTATCCAAAAAACGGTGTTGTACGTGTTATTTAACCTTATGTTAGTGTGTAATAATGTCTTCATTTCAGAGCGACGGTGGTGCGGAACTATCTGGCCTTCTGGACGCAGATCATGTCGCCACCCACGGCTTAGATACGGACGGCTTGAAGTGTTGAAGGCTACGTTCCGGAAGGCAGGAATCATGAAGGTCCATTACATCCATGGCAGTGGTGGTCTTCGGCAGGCGACCCCGTGTGGTGCATGTGTGGGGTGTGTGGTGTGCGAGACGGATACATCGGGGTAAGGAATATGCGTGGTGTGCGTGGGGTGTACGTGTGGTGACTGGTGCGTGTCTGGAGCGTGTAGGGTGTGTGGTGTGCGAGAGGTGCTTGGGTTACGGGTGATCCGTGAGTTACGCGAAATGATCAGAAAATTTAAAAGAACATATTGTGTGAATAATGGCACATTATTTCATGTCACTGTGATACGCCATTTTTCGGGACAAACTGGGCCTGGATGACCCACACAGGGGCGAAACGTGCACCGATTTTTAGACAATGTCTTATCCATATCTTTGAGTGCGGGATGTGTGCCGTTCATGAGGTGTGCACGTGAGTTCTGGAAAGCAGCTTACTGTTCGATTTTTCACATTTCCACGTATTTACTGAGCCGGCAATTACACCTCCTCCTTGGTTGCCGTCCTGTAAAATATGCAAGCCATATTTTAATAGTTATAAAAATTTTACAACAGGATATAGAAAGTAGATGGTTTAAAAATACAAGGGATCGGTTATAAATAACAAAAAGTTATACCTTTGCCATTGGTTATTTGCGTTATTGAAGCACGTGTTGGCAGGGTGCTGTGTCCCACAACATGNAAGCCTAAAGAAGTAGGAATTTTTGTAACATGTGTCGGAGTGTAGAATTAATTTCCTTAAGGGTGTTGTCACAGATACTACAATCTTGAGTTAGAGTGTAGTCACAGATTGTAACAATAGTTTGACTTCAGAATGACAGCCTAGTTACGTCACCTTACGTTAGTGTATAAAATGTCTTCATTTATAAGCAACGTTACGCGTGTTATTTATTTTTGTATCCAAAAAACGGTGTTGTACGTGTTATTTAACCTTATGTCAGTGTGTAATAATGTCTTCATTCCAGAGCGACGGTGGTGCGGAACTATCTGGCCTTCTGGACGCAGATCATGTCGCCAACCTACGTCATCTGAGTGGCTTTGGCAGTTCGTTATGTAAGCTCCAAGTATCTTGATACTAAAACAGTTATTGTTTTTACCAAAGTAACTAGTTTCATTTGAAAACATTTGTTCAATTTATTACCTAAAGGGCGCGCACCAGAACAAATATCAGTTTACTTAATTAAACAGGACGCTTTGAGCCGTTGAACGACTTCACAGCGTTGCCTAGTTCCTGCAAACACACGAGAAGGAAATAAAAAATAAAATTGAAAATAAATTTCATTGCACAAGCAACTCATCGAATATAAACTTTTCCTTTGAAGGAAAAAAATATGACTAATTCACTAAATATGAAAGCGGCGTTGCGTGATGCGGACCTCTTCACCAGGTCACAGCTCGGCATACGAAAGACACGTAGTGCATTTGTTCACAGCTGAAGATATTATTGTTTCCTAGTGCTTGCATTCATTAACAAGAATAATCCCTCGTTGAATTAACAATAAAAGAATAAAAATATACCAGAAATCACCTCGCATTACCTTCGACAACTTAATATTAGTAAACAGATTTCGAGAATGACAATAAGTAATATAAAATTCAGAAAATAAAACTATTACCCTATCAAGACAGGAATATAATTTCAAAATCTAAGTACCGGCAAGTGAATTTCAAAATCCAAGTCATATTTAGATGCTGCAATATATCTAACAGCCATATTAAATTGATCGTCAAGCGGGGATTGGATGTAAAACAGATGAATAGAGCACATTCGAAAGCATAAACTAAACCTACTTGCTAGAACAATGATGACAGTGCAGGTTGTTTACTAAGCCTATCACCATAAAGGAATAAATTTGCTCTAATTGGGTTTACAGGGCAGGTTAACACTCATTTTTTATTCAGTAATATCAATTATCATCTTACTGGCTAAAAAATAAAAAAAAAACCCTGTAGTACTTCACGCACTGATTTCTCACGTGAAAATTAACTTTGGTGTAAATAATACCACGCGAAAAAAAATTGCCCAAATATCGTTCACGCAAAGAACAATGGAACGGCCAGGGTTCCAGAGCTTCGCAGTAACCAGGAAACTAAAGCTTTGGCAATAGCACTTCCAATGAATAAATTATTGTTCAGTCAGTTATCGGAACGATTCCTACAAAATCATATACGAAATTACATATGCGTGGAACCACACATCCATCCCCGTACCTGGGGGCGATTTACACACATTATTAGTAGCATTGTGCGTGACTTGGAGAAAAAGTTGCGGTACACAGTCTGGTTATATAAAAAATCCAACACCTGAAATGTTACAATAACGTATGTTTAGCCTATAACATTACCTCACCTCTTCACTACCGTGCGCACTGACTATCGAAAATTTTTATTCCAATTGAGCGTGAACATCACTATAAATAATCGCGAGTAAAGCAGCACACCGTGTGCATCGTTGTTAAACACAGAAGACATCGTTAGACAAATGTTATCAGGATCTTCGAAATGTTCTAATTTCGTATACCAGGCACAATAAAGCGAAAATAAATGTTGTGATATAAATAAATATAAAATGAAGATAAATGTTATGATGCACATTCACATGCATGCAGGTAGAACATCGTAGCAGCTCAGCCTAGATCTTGTGCCTGCCACGAAAGGTTTCACTACATCAATAACGAGTCGATCCTTCTAATTTAAGGACTGATATCCAATGGGAACAACATTAATCGTTATCATGAACAAGAGAGCTGGGTGTCACCACTTCGGTTAATTTGCACGAATTTGTCAAAATAATCTGAGTTTTTAGAAAGAACAAAATTATTAATTAAAATGTCGGTCATGTTACATAAATATCAACATTTGCAATATCCTAGACGAGTATCCAGCATCTCTCCGTGAGAAGCTTTGGATAAAATCAATCAAGAGCAAATGGATTCACGATTTAAATAATAGACAACAGACGCTAGCAACACATACAATGGCATAACACCACACAGAAATTAAAGCAAATGAGAAACTTTAGATTGTCATTGAAATATCCAAAATAACATAGAGCCCTTCACGACCACCGGCCGAAGCCTTATTGAATATACATTTTATTATTAATTAAAAATAGTTATCTCCTTTTGAGAATTTGAGACAAAAAATCAGGCTGCGTGAATGCAAAATGTCATGGTACCGATAATAATTAACCTAGTGACAAGCGCGCATTTGAGGTACAAGCCAACAATTGGTCATTAAGCAAATACATCTAAGAAAGATACAGGGTTAAATGTCAATATTCTTAGCTCTTAAATCACAGACAAGGAGCAAACAAGTTTTATATAGAGGCTAAAACATCCGAAAAAATTATGGTCGAAGTTCGGCTTAATGGATATAGAGGAACGCTGACACTGACTCCAGGAAGTGTGTGTGTGTGTTCAGTTAGCCATGACGTCGAAGTTAGGCTCAGTTAACTGAACAGAGGTCGTCTTTCTATTGGCAGAATATAGAATAAATTTGCTAGCCATAGTGAACTTTAATATAGTGTGTACCTTGCTGCTACGCAGTGTGTCTTTATGACATTACGTTACAGATATCGAAAAATAAATAGACCGACAACTTAATCCAAAATAGACAATGTTGGGTTACATTTCATGTGCGTAAACGAGAACCTTATTTAGCGTATAGAATATAGATGGACAGTGCTGTAGCAATACAACAGGCGCAAAGCTATCAAGCATTACTGAGTCTACACACAAGTTCCGCCTTACGGTTAGTTCATAAACATGCGATTATATTTCTTTAGTAAGTCCCTCACTGTAAATAAAATATACGTACAGATACAACCCGGGAACAAACTCCTCCAATATCAAAAACTTGGCAACCTTAAAAAAAATAGAGCCTTCTAAAAATATTGAAAGAAATGATCAAAAAAAGCAATTAAATGCGGACAAAAACAATTACAGAGGGGAAAATTATTCCCTTTGATAACGTAATAAAATGAAAATTAATAATGTTACAATTTCATTTAGAACTCGATACTTTTTCAATATTCAATGAAAAAGCAACAATAAATAAAAATCGTTGCGCGACATATAAGAATGGGATCACAACAAACCAGGTTCTGACAAACAACTTCAAGTACATAACAGAACCGTACTTTTGTTTACATTAAAATAACTTTATTTCTGAAAATATCGTTAAAAGAGATAGACAAGAGGAATAGCCAAATTGGCATCACAGAACGTGGAGACATAATATATATCTAATTTTATGACGTATAACACTGATGAGATATTCAGAGGACTTTTTTCTTCGAGTCTTTGCGCTGAATTGAAGATGAAAGATTGATTTTACTGCCACTTGAATGTTTATGCAGTGTACCCGCAGATCCAGCATTTTTATCTTTCGTGGAACCAGGACAGTGTTTGCCAGAGAGCGTCGTTTCCTTCCGATGATGAACAGGCGTTGAATTGGATGATTTGCTAGCCCCGTTCACAACGTTTGTGCCTTCATCAGCCCCAGAAGATTGTTGACTTCTGACAGGAGTACCATCACCGACGTCTCCTGTAGACCCATCATCTTGTTCTACTTTAGGTACCCCCACTATATCTTTCCATCCGGGTACCCCACTCATAGCAATCAAAGTAATTTTACTCTTGCATGCTATCCACTGCAGAGGCACAAGTATGATGTTCGCTGCCCACAGCAGGTTAGACCACGCAAACAAGTTACTGTACTCGTTAGGCACGATTCCTTCTATGCTGCTCTCGAAGTAGCTGAACATGGGAAACCAGATCTTTGTGCGGAATGAGTCCTTTTGATGTAAGGCCCTGTTGTTGGCTAAAGAGTGATAGTATAGAAACATACGGGACGTGATGTAGAAGGCTATAAACACGTCTATAGAATAATGTTCATGAGCTGCTAACACGAAGAATATACCGAACATGTTGAGTACCCATGAGGCGATGTGGATGTAGTACAGACGACGAGGGGTATCTGTCAATTAAAAACATATTTAATAATGGAAGATTATCATAATACGGTAAAACACAATTTTTTTCAAGTCAAATGAAAATAGATTCTAACATTTATTAGTTGATATCAGCTAAGAAAGACATACTAAATGCAGATCTAATGGTTAGAAAAAACAAGCGTATGGCCTCGAATGAATAAAAAATTATTCCATGTCAAGATTAGCAACTCAGTGCTCACGGACAAAACAAAAGAAGCGCATTCTAAACTGAAGAATTTGTGCTGACCACTTGACACGCAGCAATGCAGTAAAAATAGCCAGGAAAAACTAGCAAAAACCTAGAATAGGCGATTATGTCCACAGTGAACAACTGACTCTAGGGGATGTACATACAGTCAGATAACACCAGAGATAAATAAATAGTAGACCAAGGCTACATAACACAATAGACAGAGAATAAACCTGGCATAAATCAAAGCCCCACATCAAAACCGACACAAAAAAAACTAGCAGAATTAAAGTACTCTTACACTCAGTGATGAAGAAATTGAGCATAGTGAGCGCAGTGGTGTGCCCGGAGAACATGTAGTCTCCGCAGGTGCGGACGCCCTTGATGCTCAGGCCGCCGCCCTGCCAGATGACCCACGCCTGTTCCACCTGCCGCCAGATGCTCCGTTGCTCCTGAACATTTCAAGTGACTATTATAATTGGTACCGCAATCGCCTCCTTGTGTAATCCCTTAACGCAGTACCCAGAAAATATTAATGTATATAGCCTATTATCTTCTTGAAACTATCACATTGTTATCTATATCTCATTAAATTAGGAGTCGACGCTAAGTGAAACTATTTCGAAGCCATTAATGACAACCAGGAAATTTCCTGAATGCTCACACAAAACCAAATAAATCGTGAAACACTTCAAGTGTTAATCAAGAATGACGATAACTCCTAATACACTTAGCCGTGAAACAAGGCACTCCATAGCTGATCAGCGTGCAAAATATTGAGACATAGAGGGCCATAACAAACACCCTATAGCTGATCAGAATGCAAAACATTGAGTATAGTGAAGGCCGAGAACAAACACTCCATAGCTGATCAGCGTGCGAAATATTGACACGTGAAGGGCCATAACAAACACCCTATAGCTGATCAGCGTGCAAAATAATGAGGAATGTGGTGCCATAACAAACTCTATAGCTGATCAGCGTGCAAAATATTGAGGAATGCAGGGCCATAACAAACACTCTGTAGCTGATCAGCGTGCAAAATATTGAGAAACAAAGGCCGAGAACAGACCCGCGGTGAGCACTGCAGGTGGTTGCCCGGCACGGAGAGGCTCGTGATGAACATCGTAGCGCAGCGCAGCAAGAACACCGTCCCGCCCAGCGCTGCAAACCGCCTCACGATGATGCATCTGCACGACATACTTCCTCGTCAACCAGTTCGAATTGAAAAAGGAAAATAATCGGCGACAGGCCACATCAGGCCTACACTTCAGCGCCGAGATCTTTATGTTACGTTAAGGCACGATTTATACTTTTTTGATGGCTCGGGAACAACGTGAAGCAGGAATTTGAGGTAAAATATAAGAGTTTGTAAACTTCCGAGAAAAAAAAATCAATACCAGCCAACGAAGCGGACTGATTGTGATTGACTCCCAGCAACGAAATTATAAAAAATAGCAAAATAAATTAATTGCTACTAGTCCGTGAGCTGATAATTCAAGAGCACAATTTGAATTGAATTAAAAACAATTAAGAGATCATTCAGTAATGCTAAAATACTACAGTGCGCAATCACATTGTATTACAAAAATCTGAAAAATTATACTAAGTAGATGCTACGAGAGAAATGCTAATCATATTATATTACAAAAATCTGAAAATATTATACTAAGAAGATGCTACGAGAAAAATACAAAGCGCACCTGTGCTTATGGAAGCAGAGGATGCACAAGAAGGTGCAGAGGAGCACGATGATGGTGAGCTCACAGAGCTGGAAGGCCCAAGGGATGTGAGGCACGTTGTCCAGGAATATGTCGGGCAGGGGAGGGTGTCTGTCCTGCAGAGTGATGTACACATCATCAGCTTGGGTTGAGAGCTTACTCCAAAAGATATACTCATGACATGAAGGAAAAATGATTCAGGTATAACCACCGTAGAGACGTCTATGCGTTAATTTTTGTTTTTAATAACAAAGAAAGAAAAAAATCTCGGAATTATGATGAAGAATATATACTATGACGTCATCATTTATAGCATCATTATTTTGAAACAATGATGGACGAAACCCTGAAGTGATGCACAGCTTCACTGTCCCTGTCGTGCTTGATGCCCTCTGCCTCATGCACAGCTTCACTGTCCCTGTCGTGCTTGATGCCCTCTGCCTCACTCACCCTGTCCGTCCCCCTGTCTTGCACGATGCCCTCTGCCTCACTCACCCTGTCCGGCCCCCTGTCGTGCACGATGTCCTCTGCCTCACTCACCCTGTCCGACCCCCTGTCTTGCACGATGTCCTCTGCCTCACTCACCCTGTCACCCCTGTCTTGCACGATGCCCTCTGCCTCACTCACCCTGTCCGGCCCTCTGTCTTGCACGATGCCCTCTGCCTCACTCACCCTGTCCGGCACGCGGTCGTGCACAAAGACCATCACGATGGCCGTGATCCACGTTACGAGGAACATGTAGAAGCACGAGATGGCCGTCTTCAGGTACTCAGGTTGCAGGGGCGCGCGACCCCCGCTGGGCACCGTGCGGGCCAAGTTGCCCCCCCGGCGGCCGCCGTTCGTGGCCCCAGGAGGGGATGTGGTGAGGCCAGCAGTCCTCCCTGTGGCGGCCTGAGATGTGGTGGTCACGGTGCTGTCGCTGCTCCTGCATCCTATGGACATGTCATCATCTCCTTCATCGTCGTTCTCGTCGTCACTTTCAGATGAGGAGTATCTGCATAATGAGAATAGAATAACCAATTCTATAGAATCGTTTTTGTAGTGGACCAAATAACTATCCTTAATGCCAGATACATTATAAGAGAATTAGTTACTTCAATTTCTGATATTTTTTGTTGAAAATCATTCCTGTAAAATCACAATTTTGATGCATAAATTTGAATGAAGAGAATACATTAATAAGTCGAAAACTAAAAAAATCTTTCCTCCGTTGAAAATATTTGCATTTACTCAGCTGCCATAATCATCAACCCATTGGAATGAATCTGATTTAACAAATGATTTAGAATTGGAATATTTAGAGGTGGCTGAGTGGTGAAGGCCACCAAGATTAGAGCAGAAAGTTAAGGCTCGAACGCGGCAATTGGTTGTAAAAATTTTGGTCGAAATCGGCAAGGTGACCGGGATAGATGTCGAGAATGGTTTCCAGGCCAACATGGCAGAATCATAGCTGATAACACTATATCATATAACCTATACATAATATATATTATATATAATACATTATATTTAATATATTATTTTAAGACAAGTACACACCTCGTTCGGCGCTTGTGGTGTCTAAGGAGAGTTCTTGCAAGCATGTGTGGTGAAGGTGCGCTTTTGTGATGCCGACATGAACACCACACTCTTCCTTTTCCACCACCACCACCAGCAACAGAGCCTTCACCATCACCTCCACCAATACCACTGTCGGCGCCGTTGGTATTCTCACCGCCACCGCCATGTTCGTTGCAGTTCTCGCCGCCACTATGAGAGTTGGTGTCGAGGCAGCAGTGGCGGTGGTAGTAGTGATGGTGGGTGACGGGGGAATGTTGGGGTGAGGTGGGGGAGCAGGAGTGGGAGGAGCTACCGGGGGACAGGGATCCTAATGAGGGACTCTGCAGCCGCTTGATAGCCAGGGACAAGCGACGACGATCGCCCAATGCCTGCCATTGATAAATATTAGAATTATTAGACGATATAATTATACTTAATTCGGCTTTATTATAAATATTTAATTTAACCAAATTTTAATTAGGATTAAATGAAGTGATAGTATCTACTCGTTCGAAATTGCATGAACACTCATCTCAGCCGTGCTAAAATTACGGGAGAAAATACGGCATGCGGCATAATTTTATTCTAAATGTACGTCGCACACAAGATATTTGCAGATAAGTTATCGGCTGCTCAAGTTGCTCAAGGACCACGTGGATTGTTGCACTAACACTCAAAGAAGTTAACAGGTCGTTGTCCATATAGCGATGTCCTTTTTCCGTTATCCTGACTCAGTTTGAGGATTGAGGGGGCATATAAATGCTACATACTTTATGAGCTCGTGTTATGGGTGAAAAGTAAGTCACTATTTGGGCAGCATACCTATTCATTCATGTGATTTTAAACTTATAAAGCATCACACTCACGACAATGCCGAGCTCTTCCTTGTAGTCGTGCTCGGTGAGAGTAAGCAGCACCTCTCCGTTGACTCGCTGCGTCCGGAAAACGTGGCATATTGACGCATCAAAACCGAGTGCTGCCAGCCACATCACCACATCCTCACAGCTCCACAACGCCACGTTTATCACCACAGTTTCACTCCCGCGTTTAGTGAGGTGAGAACGTCCTAGCAAGTCTCTGTCCAAGTCCAGAGGACAGCTATCAGGCCGAGGCTTCTGACAGAGAAGCTCTTGAGATGACACTGAGGAACCTTCAGCTACACCGAGAATTTCCTGAAGACAATTCGAGTCCTCGCGCTCGGTGGAAATATTTAAATTAGATTTCAAGCCGCATTCTCCGGGTGCTTTCGTACCGTTCGACATTGTGGTAGTTTCTTGGTATTTTTCAAAAATTAGAAAATACGGTTTTTCGCGAAAAACATACTGCTTAATTTCTGAGCTTGACCGTATTTACAATACTCTTTTCTTCGGATACAAAAGGTCATAATATATAGCTAATTTTCCAAATACAAAACGCAATTAGGCCTAGTTAGCTAGGCTAGCTGCATTTGCTGTCAGCTTCGTAGTAATTACAACCATGAAACATAAATGATTCACCAGACGATTTGCTTTTGCACCTGCTGTAAGTGTAAGTGCTGTTACTCATTGTGCGAGTCTTGCATCTTGGGAAAATAAGCCACGTAGTTAAATTAATTATAAGGGCAGATACAAGGTCTGTGTCAAGCTAACCTCTATCTAAATCAAGATTTAAAATTTTCAGTCCCGTATTAGTTCCAAGTCATACAATACTGAATACACGCAGCCATGCACAAAGAATGCATAGACATTTCTGAAAATTTATACAATTATATTATGGTACCACATGTACAAATAATAATTTACAATATTGAAACGCGAAGTGCGAACGCGAAACCCAACGGCAGCACGGGCTGGGTGAGCTAACGGTAAACTGCGCTGGATGAACGAACGGCGATCACGCTAGCACACAGCCACACACTACCTCCATGATATCTACAGCGCAACTGATCACAAGTCGCAACTCACAAGCTCACAACTTCACAAGGTCGCGGTTACGCGGACTAGCCCTGCTGTTCGGCGTCGTCATTCTTCATGGGCGACTCACATTAGTTGGCACGTGTAGACTACGGCGTCATAATTGTGTAGATGTATTGGACTGGCATCTGATAGTACCACATTATAAGATAAGACTTATTCAGCGTCCTCCAAGATAAATGTATATAAGTACGAAAAAACATTTTTGATTAAATTAATATTTTATTCGTAAATTAACACGTTTGCGTGTTCTATGCAAGTTAGACGATCCATCAGTGATATTCCAAAGTGGAACGGAGTTACGATCGAATTTGATGGATATAGATCATAAGTCGATGAGTCACGCAAATATCCGTTATAGCGCAGGTGCAAGACCGCTACTCGACATACAAACGGACGTACGAAACCAGTTTCTCATCGATGATGTAACAGGATGTTTCAAGTTATGACCTTTGAAAATAAGGTGATTAAGTAGCTCATCGGCTAGAAACGTCATTTATAACTTAATTCTTTCGCAACTAATAATCATTGTGTGAAAACTGTCATGAAATTCAAGTACACGAAATAGATAAAAAAATATAGGACTTTCTTGGCTATGATATAAAGTGCCACTCGGTTTCATCATGCAACGGCCATGAAAGAAAAATCTGCTCGGGTCCCAGAGATCGCATTCAATTCTCTTCAGTGCCGTTCAGACACTGCCCTGAGGTTTAGTTAACTGGTGCTCGAAGAGCAAAGATTCTATCATATTCTCGATTACGCGCTTGCAATGAAGGTACAAGATGAGATTTCAAAAATAAAAGGTCGGAAATATACTCAACAAGATCAACAGAACATCGAAATTGACTAATTAAAACAACTCGCCATTAAAGCCTCAAAATTTTTGCAATAAAATTAGTTAAAATCTAGTAATACAAGCCAACTGGCTCGGCTCGCTCAATACTCGAGTTTCTAGACAGACCGTACGATTGGCTAACCTTGATACTTACAATTTTTGTGATTAAGTGAAGAACAGCACAAGATCGTCAGATTGGCGAAGAAGAACCAAGTTCGAGAATTAGAAGAATTCATTACTCAAACTTGACGAATAGATAAACTCACCACTCGAGCATGGACAGTAAACAAGCTCACCTACTTAGGCGAGATATCGAGATGCATCCTTTACCTTGCATAACAATGCCATCATAGCCCAAGTGCGCACTTGCGTGGTTGCGTTGTACGTAGCAGCAATACTTTGTACATTCAGGTATGTTCTCACCCAAACAAGAGTACATACATGCCCAGAGATGCCTGACTTGAATTAGAACTTCAAAACGACGTAATAATGGAGTTCATGTGCCTAGACCTGACTTACTTGACTTAGAACTTCAAAAAACTTAATAAATGCAAACAGCGACTTTTTTAGGTGTGCAACGCTTTGCTGTTGAACACTCGTTTTTTGACCAATGAACAAACCGCGGCAGGAAGTGTTATATAGACCGAAAATACGTGTGAAGTATTTCAGGTAAAAATGACATGATCAAAGGTGAAGGTCATGATGTCATGTACAATTTGCCTTCCAACAGGTGCGTCTCAAGTGAGGTTGATTCAGGTGTCTGTTTGACCTTGCAACGCAGCTAAGCAACGCTCAGAACCACATACGTTTTATTTTTATCAATTACGTTGAATTTTCTACGCACTAAATTAAACATTTTGCCCTAAAGCTGCAAGATGAATTTTGGATCCAATAATACAAAAGAAAGTTAAAATTTTGACAATAAATTAGATCAACCAGCTAAGACCGTACACGCGTAAATATTGTCAAATTTATTCACGAGACTTCAGCATCAAAATCCCTTGAAAATAACAAAAAATTTAGAAAAAAACCAGTTGCATATGAAGGAAAATAAAATATAACAGGAACAACACTTTAATTTGCTGAGCCTCCTATCATACCTAGATATCTCAGAGATCAAAGTGGTATAAATACCTGCATCAAATGAGTAGGTGATCAAGTTTGGAAAGTGAAGAAATCCGTAATTGTCAAGTTAGTGGAGTTTCCTTCGTGTAATAACTTCACATAGGAACGGTGTGTGAATATAATTTTTCGGAACAGGAATAGATGACCTGGTCCATCATATGTCCCAATTCGCGAAACTTTCCTCATATCAACAGTCAAGTAAAGGACTTCGTTACGGTTAATACACACAGTTCTTGTAAAATAACCTAAATCAAGGACTTTTCAATTAGAACTGCTGATTAATAGAAACTATATTACTTGGAACAATATGGGCATTAGCGAATTAAAATTACAAGCACATATGGACCTTTGAATCTTTAACACGATGAATTCGATGTGCGCTGGCCAAAAGAGGCGCCTCAGTCGTGTACTACATCATTATCGTCAGTCAGTGCCACGCGACTGAATGCGTGTAAAGTCTTTCCCAATAGGATTCAGCAGGTTCACTGAAATTTCTAGTTTTACGACGCCTTGACTGATGATTGCAACCTAGTCCATTAATGAAATAGTGGAGCCCTGCGAACTTCAGTTTCGCTTCTAAGGCGATACAGCTTTACAACTGTGGGGGCGAATATGTAGGGTTTTACAGAATATGTTAGAAATTTCAAAAGATGAGTTTGAACTGTACTGGTGAATTAAATCAATTTAGAAAAATTAAAGTAATTTTACACACTCGTGGATGTATTTTATTATAACCGTGAAATTGTATCAGTAAAGATTTATTCTAAACCGATACTTCCTCGTTACCAAAGCAAGACGCATAGTGTTTTCATGGCTCGGGAACAACGTGTATTGAAATTTGAGGTAAACTCAAGCAGTAGCAACAAGCCATTTTTAAACTTTTGAGAAAAAAACATGCAATACCAGCCAACGAAACGGACTGATTGATTGATTGCCAGCTTGATTACCAGCAAAGAAACTGTCAAAAAATTGCAAAAAAAAAATAAATAAATTACTACCAGTCATTGAACTGATAATTCTAGAATACAATTCGAATTGAATTTAAACAATTACGAGATCATTCAGTAATGCTACATGCTACAATACTACAATGCGCAATCACAATGTTTTACAAAAATCTGGAAGAAAATTATAATAAGTAGATGCTACGAGAGAACGCTAAACGCACCTGTGCTTATGGAAGCAGAGGATGCACAAGAAGGTGCAGAGGAGCACGATGATGGTGAGCTCGCAAAGCTGGAAGGCCCACGGGATGTGAGGCACGTTGTCCAGGAATATGTCGGGCAGGGGAGGGTGTCTGTCCTGTGTAGCGAAGCACACATCATCAGCTTGGGTTGAAACTTTATTACAAAAGATATGCCCATGACATGAAGAAAAAATGATCTAGGTGTAACCACCGTAGAGGCGTCTATACATTAATTTTTGTTTTTAGTAACAAAGAAAGAAAAAAATCTCGAAATTATGATGAAGAATATTTACTATGACGTCCTCATGTAGAGAGCATCATTATTTCGAAATAATGAAGGACGAAACCACGAAGTGATGCACAGCTTCACTGTCCCTTTCGTACTTGATGCCCTCTGCCTCACTCACCCTGTCCGGCCCCCTGTCGTGCACGATGTCCTCTGCCTCACTCACCCTGTCCGACCCCCTGTCTTGCACGATGTCCTCTGCCTCACTCACCCTGTCACCCCTGTCTTGCACGATGCCCTCTGCCTCACTCACCCTGTCCGGCCCTCTGTCTTGCACGATGCCCTCTGCCTCACTCACCCTGTCCGGCCCCCTGTCTTGCACGATGTCCTCTGCCTCACTCACCCTGTC